AAGGAAGGAAGGAAGGAAGGAAGGAAGGAAGGAAGGAAGGAAGGAAGGAAGGAAGGAAGGAAGGAAGGAAGGACGGACTTTCATTTCTGCTGGAGATTTGCCATGGTGAGAGCCTTGTATTTCATGTAACATTTTGCAATATTTAATTATATAAAACAACATTACAGATTTTTAATATGCTAGATGCGGTACCGGATTTTTGTATATATGGTTTAATTCCCATGATCCATGGATCAGATTTTTTCAAGCAGTGATTTGGGTCCATTCCATTTCAGCATCCATGGGTTTTAAAAAAATAACTTTCAGCAAGAGGTGACTAAATATTAAACATTTTTTTAAAAAGGTAATGTGATACAATTATGTAAATTGCAATGGTTTACTTTTATTTCATTTTTTTCCTTTGTAGTGGGAGTTAATTTGTTTTACTTCTGTATAATCATCTATTTATATGGTGATCTGGCAATCTATGCAGCCGCTGTCCCAGTTTCTCTCATGCAAGTGACTTGGTAAGTATGCTTTTGGTAACAATATTGTGTACATGAGAATTTCTTACTGAAAAGCTAGAGGATGATGTAATTATTTCATACTGATGGTTTTGACTTTATATTGATATACTTCAATTTGTATCCCAGTTTTCAAGGCAAAATTTATTCACAGATCAGATAGTTTCTCAGGTAGGCCCAAAGCTATTTAGGATTTTGAACGTGACAACTAACACTTTGAATTCAGTCTGAAAAACAGTTGGCAATTTATGCAGTCATTTCAAGGCAAGCAAAATGTACCAGTTAGTAGCCTAACTGTGGCATGAATTACGTCTTCTGAATACTGTCTAGGGGCAGCCCACATAGAACATATTGGCATGGAGAACCATTACTGTATCCGACTGGTTAAGAAACAGTTGTGCTTGTCACACTAGCTATATCATCTGCTGCTTAAAAAGCTTTTATTGATCCCCAACTGTTTCCTGGACATACGATAGAGGTGTATATGTATGAGTAAGGGTCTCTTCACATGTTCAGAGGAATATTAATAATCTGCTTTGCTTCTTTTTGTCAGTACTGTGACTAGCAATCATTCATGCAGTGTGGAAGATGGGGCAAAATATAATGACACAGACAAGTGCTGGGGGCCAATCAGGAGGATTGATGCTTACAGAATTTATCTGGTAGGTGTCACTAACAAAAAGCACAGTATGAATTTTGCTTCATTCTTAAACAAAGTAACATTGTGAAACAACTATTGATTTAAATTTTAAGCGCATAATCTATTGTTTTCAGCTTCTTTCTCTTCCTTTTTTTTTCCTGGAAGTTTAACTTTATACTTTTCAGTAGGTCAGTCTTATACTGAATGGTGCTAGTCGCTTGAGCTACAAATAGGTGGTAGAGCCATTGTGGTGGAATATTAATGACACTTTTCAGTGGAAATTACCTCAGCCTCAATTCAAATTTATCAGGCTGTCTACACACTGCACTTGTAGGTATAGTATCCTGTTGAGTTTTAGCTTTGGCTAACTGTAGTGCTTCCTTCCTAATTCTCCTCTTTTCCTGTATAAGGCAGTAACTTAAATAGCTCTTCTCCTCCAGCCCAGCAGTATTTACATTAATAATGAAGTGATGAAAGCTTGAAAAGGCTTATTAGACTACCTTGGAAAAGCAACTCTCTTAATACTGCTACTTGAGTGCAAGAAAGATTAGATGCTTCTTATACTTCAGCAGTTGAAGTAGGACTGCTCATTGTATGCTGGCAGTTTCCAAATGAATTTTAGCAAATATGTTCATTGGTCCTGTTTTACTAGTATTCCAGTGTATATTAACACATTTTACTAAAGCAGGTATGTGTAAATTTTGGGCTTGGGATCCCCTTCATTTTACTCCAAACTTGAGATGCACCAGTTGAAGCTGCATAGAAAAAATACATAGCATACTTTAAAAGAAATTGACCCCAAGAATTCTGTTTTAGTATCTGAACTAATTTCATTCTTTCTATGCAGAAATTAACTCATGTTTACTCCAGGCTATCTTGATTTTAGCAGTGTAATTTAAGGTGTTAATGGAGGGGTTTTTTTTGTTTTTGTTTTTGCTATTGTGGTTAATCAAGTGACAGTCTGAGGTCTTTGCTTGTCTACTGTAGTTTATCTAGAGATTACCCTCTTCATATTCCTATTGTAAAGTTTGTCAGGAATTTACTTTGACATGTGACTGTTATTTGGTAACAATCAAGTACTAAACATAATAATTAGGGATAAGAAGGATAAACATTTTTTAAAAACTTTATCTGATATTATTGCTAAAATCATTGCAGTTGAAGATGGTAGGTAAATCATGCAGATGTCAGGGAAGAAACAAACCTGAAGCAATAAATACAGTTTTCCTTGAGGGTACAGTGTGCATCTTAAGCTTTGTGTCTGTACTCCTGACTGGATTATTACTATGAACAGCATACTTCTGGAGGATAGGTGACACAGAGTAATAATGGTGAAACAGGAAGAAAGCCTTGGTAATATTAAGAAATGCCATAGCCTGGTTAATTATTTAAAGGAAGTATTGTTTTATTAAATTGTGTCTAGGCCTATTTCTCCAGAATTCTTATACCACTGAAGGTTTTCTTACTGAATTTCAGTTTGAAATTCAGCTGTTTGATCCAGCAAGGAAAGGCAAGCAGGCATTAATTATAGCCTGTACCTCCCAGATATTGTACTTATAATTCATAAGATAATATTTTTAAGCCAGAGACGGAAGAAAATGTGTCTTTATGGAAACAGTAGGTTAAATGTTCTGGGAAAGCAATAATAATCTGTAATAATACAGTTCTATAAGGCTGTCTTTGCTGGGCTTTGTGATGCATTTGCCACCTTTAATGTTGCAGCTTTAACAGCATATAAAAATTGGTAGTAGAATCAAAGAATCCTCTATGCTCAGATGCTGGTTGGCTCTAAACTAATAGAAAGAAGGATTGGGTTGAGTATTTCAGAATTATTATTCAAGGCCTAGGGTGCATGCATACTTTGAGATGAAGTGCCTAAGACTGAGGAAGCAATCTACTGAAGGCAGAGGAGAAAGACAAAAAGTGCTTTGAATAGGAAAGGATGTGTGAAAGTTGGCTCAATTTTATATAATTTATCAAGGTAAGTCCTGATTGCTGCTAAAACAGCCAGTTAACTCTTTTTTCTCCCCAGTTTGAAATATAAACTCATGATGCTAACTGTGGTCTGGGCAGTTCTTCTTTATGTAGAAAAGGGGCTACTGAATGCATTAACTAGAATTTCTGTCAGGCAACACCTCAGATTGTGTTTTCTCTGAAGTTTCATGCAAGTTTATCAGGGAGGGATGGTAACTTGTTGCATGTCATGAGGGACCACATCTAAAAGGAGTGGAATTGGAAAACCTGTTGTGTGACCTTCTAGATTGGGGCATTGGAACTTTTAGGAAGAAAATGAGGTCAGGCCTAAATGCCTTTAACTGCATAGATCAGTCAGCCCTGCATACAAATACTTTTTTTAAAAAAAGTTTTAGACTAAAATTAGGCAACCTGGTCCAAAACGTTGCATGTGGTCTCTTTCCTTTATGGTCTTCAGAGCTCATATGACCACAACAGCTGAAAACTAGCAACGTGATTTACTGCTGTTTTGAAACAGAAAATATATAAATTGTAACAAACAATAAAATGGATCTAATATTAAAAAAAAAAATCCAAACCTCCCCCAACACAGGAAAAAAAAGGAGCATCTCCCATGTGTTACAGCCTTCCCAGTCTTCCTACTTTACTTCATTATTCTGTATACTGTGGCCCTTGCTTTGTTAAAAAAAGAAGAAAGAGGAGAAGCAGCAGCAGCAGCAGCAGTACCAGTAGTTAAATGGAATCCATGACCATCCCTCAAAGTGGTCCTTCCCTGGTTTAGATCACTAAATATTTTCCTCATTGTGCAATTCTCCCACTGAATAGCTGGGTGTGCTTTTGTAAAAAGAGTTTCCCTAACAGATTCACTGGGAATGAGAAAATAAGATTTCCAATTGAGTCCACTGTGATTTTCAGTAAATGTGGTAAAGATTGAAGCCTATATAACTTTGCTCTCAAACTATCCACTTTTCCCCCCAGAACACTGAGGTTTGCATTCTGGCTTATATCTTCCAGTTTCCTGTATTGTATTTAGAATCTCAAAATTACTGTTGTCTGCCCATTATGATCAGTTATTATATGTACACAAGTGCATGCTCATATACACACATACACACATATACAGGTAGTCTCCAGTTTGAGAACGAGTTCCGTTCCCAAGGCCCGTCCTTAAGTTGAATTTGTATGTAAGCCGGAACAATATTATTGTATAATACTGTATAAGTAATATTGTGTAATGGACTCAAAACATTGTGTATTTAACTTGAATCATTGTGTATTTAACTCCAATTTTGTTCCAGTAGGCTCCGTTCTTAACTATGGGTTATCTGTAACCCAGGCATTCTTAATCCAGGGACTACCTGTACAAATAGGGCCGTTTTCTCTTTCTGCTAAGATTTCTGTTTCTTTTTACTCTTCTTCCTCCCATTCTGTTGCAGTAATAACTTTCAGATACTGTATCCTGAAGCTGGGAAATAAGAGAGAGAATGATGGACATAAAAACATTATTTTGTGCTTTAATGTCCAAAAACTCCTCCAGAAATAGTCTGAGTTCCCGTGCCTTGAATGAAAGCTGAGTGCCATGCACATAGTGAAAATATTTAGGCAGATTAAGTTGCTCTCTGATGAGTTTCCTATCTGTGCAGCATCTTAATATTGCTCTGCAGGCTCCAGCAGCGCGTAACTGTTCTGTCTGGTAGGTCTACATTTAATCTTTGTCTTTCACAAGTTTCACTTGACTCTCTTGTAAACTACTCTCTGGTAAACTACCATTTGCAAATATAATCTTGCAAAATAAACAAGTAATTAAAGAAAAATTCTTTAGATGCTTGAACTGATTCCCCCACTCTCAGACATCATTTTGCATCCTTTTTTTTAGAAGATAACAGATGGCTTTGAATCTGGGTTTATTCATGGAATATTATAAATATCTTCTTTCTAATAACTTGGCATATTTGGTGGCATGAATGCATGGCAGTGCAGATTTATTGGTTAAAGCAAATGATAAAGTTGTACCGTGTTTTCTGGTTCTTATTTATTGTTTATCGGCACCAAAGCATTCAGACTCCAAGCAGTTTTGGAATGAGAAATACATGCAACCTCCAGTTGAGTTAATTTTTCCCAGCTCAAGTAATAGTTTGAACCCTTATTAGAAACCAGCTTGCAATGCTGGTTTGGAGGGCATATCTTTTGCTAGTTTGAATGTAAACAGTTTGCTATATAGAAGGAGCTATTAATTGACTTGGGTCAAGAGAAAGGTTGAGGGAACATAGCTTTCTTGTGTAATATCAGACCATAGCTTGGCATTATGCCTGAAAATCTCTGTATTATTTATAAGCTGTCATAAATATTTTTTCTTAGTCCAGAGTGATGAGGCAATTATGCAGAATACATTATTTAAGAATGGATAGTTCTTTGCTATACATTCTGAATTAAGATGCTTGCCTTGTTCTGCACCAGTTAAAGTAAATGTAATTTTACCAGTGTAAAGTAAATGAATTAAAGAATTAACATCCTAAGTATTGAATTCAGCCTATTTATTCTTAACCTTATTAGATCAGGCTCTTTGGCAGCTGACTAAAAGTGTAAGTGATTTCTTTTCCCCAAGCACAATTCTCACAGGATTCTCATTAGCAAGAATTATTGAGAGGAATGGGATGTGGTTACAAGAATTTTAGCAACCAAACCTATTATTGATTTGGATCCAATATTTCCATGTGTATATTAGGACCAAGACATTCTCATTTTTTTTTCCTAACAGGTGTTTTGTGATTCATTGAGAAGGCAGGTCTCTTCATTGATAATGGAGAGGCTTGCAACTGGCTTTTTACATAATGGACTTCTGAATATTTATCAAAGGAGAATCAACTCTTACACATTACAGCATTGCTGTAATCTTTGTTGCTTAGATATCTGTCCTGGCTGTTATGTTAGAATTTAAATTGAAATAATTAGCAAAGGGATACAACACAAGAATTGCAAACAGTTCTTTTGGTATCTACTGTCTGTCCAGGTTGCTTTAGTTTTCACTCTACTATTCAACTATTTTTT